TCTTCGCTCCCCTTGGTCTAGGTTATAGATGCACACCACTATGTCCAGCTTCTGTATGGCTGCTGGGTTTGAATCCAGTCCTCATACTTGTACAGAAAGCACTTCATCTACTTAGCTGCCTTTGCAGCATCTTAGTGCTCAGATGTGGGGCCAGCACGATGGCTCAGTAGGTAAAAGGCTCTTGCTACCAAGCCTAATAATGACCCATATTTGGTCTCCAGGACCTATGTTAGAAGGAGAAAACTGACTCCCAAAAGTTGTCTTCTCAACTTCAAAAGCACACTATGGTTTGCATTCCTACACACACAAATAAGGTATTATTGTTATATCAGATGAATTGAATATGATGGTTCTTGCCTATAATCTCGGCACTTGGAAAAATTGAGGTCAGGATAATTGCCTAAAGTTCAGAGCCAACCTTGTCAACATGCTTAGGCTACCTGCCCAGTCAGACTAGTTGTTGGGAATAAAAAATTATGAAGTATAAAGTAACCATTAATACTGAGTTCCTAAAAAAGGGTTTTTGTTTGTTTGTTTGTTTTGTTTTTTTTGTTTTTTTTTTTTTTTTTTTGGTAATGAGAACTATTAGCACTTGACTGTCATATTGTGGGACAGATATTTGGGCCAATGGTGTTAGGGTCTTTCCCCTCAGGAAGAAAAAGAAAAAAAAAAATTGCTGGGCATAGTTACAGAAATCTAATTTCAGCACTGGGAGCCAGAGGCAGAAGGACTGCCTTGTCTATATAAGAAGGCCTGCCTGCCTCAAGTAGTTATCTGTCTTTCCCTCGTCTCGATATAAACAGAACCTAATTTCTATATGCTGTTTGTCTATGTGTATAGAACAGTTCATTCTCTGAATATTGAGCCCAGAATATCCATTAAAAAAAAAAAAAAAAACAGGACGTTGGTGGTTCTCTGTTGTGGTCACTGAATTCTTGTTTCCTGTTTAGCTTATTAAAATGGCAGACGTATTGTTCCATTGTAATGTGCACTATTTCCTTGTACTGTTTCGTACTTTATTTTACCTTTCAGCTAATAGAACTTATTCACTGCTAAGTCAGCATGGGTATGACTGAATCATTAGAAAAGAAAGAACACTGGCCAGTAATACTATTGAAGTCCAATTTGCTCCACTTTTTTTTTTTTTTTTTTTTTCATTTTGAAATTATACCTCTTCCACAGCCCAAAGTGGTCACAGATACAGATGAGACTGAACTCACAAGGCAGATGGAACGGCTGGAGAGAGAAAATGCAGAAGTGGACGGAGATGATGATACAGAAGAGATGGAAGCCAAAGCTGAAGATTAGCCTGTGGAAACAGCCCAGTTTCAGGAATACAAAGCAGCCCTTCCTGGCTGTAAGTCCTAGACTTGAAAGTTTTCCAGTATTGAAAACTTCAAAGCTGAATATTCTTATTTCCAAGTATTTAAGTATTCAACAAACCAGAATCTAAACGCCCTCCTTCGTGTCAGCTGTTTTCACACAGAAGCTCTAACACCTCGAGCATTTTCAATGGAGTGGCTTGATTTGACCAGAGACAGATCTTCAGAGCAGTCCTAAAATTGGGCTCTCGGTTTCCATTTCTGATGTTCATGGATTGGCACTCTTATGGTTCAAGGCCTCCATGAAATTTACCAGGGACACCCAACACAAACAGTCCCAACCTTTCTATACAAAATGTATTCAAGCAAGCATCAAATAAATTTCTGGGATATTTAACTTAGGCTTCTTCCTTCTCGTCACCAGTTAAACCCAATCTGAATGCTCAGATCTTAATTATCTTTCTATGTTAGAAGTAAAAGGGTAAGTAATCAAGTGACCTTTGAGTAACAGACTTTCAAAAGGAAAGTTTAGGGTAGCAATTGTAAATGTAACCATAGTGAATTTGGTCCCAAATAGAGAAAAACCTTGAAATTGAATTAAAGGATTATGTGCCTGTTAACCAGTTTGAGACCAGTGACAACTTGTATGAGAGGTCATCACACTTGGTCCCTTTGGTGTATACTAAATGACTTACCTTAAATTTTATAAAGTACTGCTGCTTTGATGTAGTTAACTTTGAGCAACATCATCCAACTGAAGGGGACATTTTCCTCTTTATCTGGTAGATGCTACTTAGATCTTTAGAGTTAACACAATTTTTTTTTTTTTTTTTTTTTTTAAATACAGTGTTCTGGCCACATGTATGTATCCCTGCAGGCCAGAAAATAGCACTAGATCTCATTACAGATGGTTGTGAGCCATCATGTGGTTGCTGGGAATTGAACTCAGGACCTATGGAAGAGCAACCAGTAGTGCTCTTAACCTCTGAGCCATCATTCCAGCCCCTGACCTTTTTTTAATATTCCTATTTTTACCTTCACAGATTAGTAACATGTATGAACTTACAGCTACAGTAGTCAAATGTAGAAAATCATTTAGTTTGCATGCTTATCTTAGGATACTTGTACTATTTATTATCTGTAGGCAAACTTAAAAACCTGGTTGGTCCAGAACTAGACTGAAAATCAAGGGTTCTAGAATTGGGTATGGTAGCATATGCTGATGGATATAGTACTTGGAAGGCTGAGGTGAAAAGATTCCTTGAGCCCAGAATTATTGATCAGCCTGGGAAACCATTGCAAGACCTGTATCTCAAAAAGATGGAAGTTAGTGTTGGAGAGATACTTTGCCACTTATGAAAGTTTGTCCCCTTATTTAACATAGTAGTCTATGAACTTTCTGGTTTTTTGAGACAAAGTTTCTCTGTATTGTTTCGGTACCTGCCCTGGAACTCGCTCTGTAGATCAGGCTGGCCTCAAACTCACAGAGATCTGCCTGCCTCTGCCTCTTGAGTGCTGGGACTAAAGGCGTGCGCCACAACGCCCAGTGAGCTTTTTAATCTAATGATCTAACCTCAGATGACCCATTGCCAGTAGGCATACCATGTTACTGGTATTATTTTCATTGCTACTTCATGACTTAATTTTGCTACTGTCATAAATCATGAAAATGTCTCTGGTTTTTGAGTCAAACATACTCACAAAAGGGAGCCCAACTCACAGGTAGAGAACTGCTGGTTTAAAATCATCAAGAAGCAAGTTTAGGGCCTGGTATGGTAGTGTATGCCTTTAATTCCAGCAGGTACGGAAGCAGTTGAAGGCCTAGCTGATCTATATATCAAGTTAAAGGCCATGCAAGACTGCATAGTAAGACAAAGCAAAACATGAAGATATATGACCAAAGCTTCAATGACAACTATAGTCCCCAACTATTCTGAGACACAGGAGTAGCACAAATTAGAGACCAGTTTGTGCTACTGCTCTAAGGATTTAATCATATAGTTGAGTTACCCTAGTGTGCCTAGCATGTCAAGGCCCTGGGGAAAAATGCATTATGAAATATAACAATGTCCTTTTCCTGGTAATTATTTACTGAAATTTTTTTATATTAAAACAAAATTTAAGACAGGCATGGTGGCATACACCTAGATCAATCAGCCTGGTCTATAGAGCAAGTTCTAGAACAGACAGGCTACACAGAGAAACCCTTGTCTCAAAACTAAAAAAGTAAAAGTAGCTGGGGTTCCATGATGATTTTTATCCCATCTTAGCTGTTTTGGTAGGTTCTACAGTTGTGTAAAACGGTGACCTTAGCCAAGGGAAAGATCAGTCATTCACTAACACTGATGAAAAGAACACACTAAGATATATGAGGCCTAAACTACTCACCCAGCCATGGGAGACTGAACAGAATGGACAAGGAATGGAACAGCTTACCATGTCTTGGTTTTCTCACCAAAGCCTTTTCATTAAACGGTTCTGTGTTCCTTCTTCTGCCTTTAATTGGTCATTAATCCATACAACAAAATGGGCAGTATTTTGTCCTACATTAGTTGGTTGAAACTGGCCAAAAAGAAATGTAAACTGCTTAAAGTTACAATTTCCATGAATATGTTCAAGTTTTTGGGTTTTTTTGTTTTGAAGATCAAGTTCTTCATGAGCTGCAGAGATGTGCCTGCCAGTCTGCCAGCCTCTGTGGCACTGAGCAGGTACACAGCAGAGATTTGTGTCCTTGTTTTTTTGTTTGTTTTGCATCAGGAACAGTTGGCGTGGGTAGGGATGGAAATGGTCTAGTACCTTGCCAGCTTTGTCTGAAGCTGACGATACCTACTTTAGAATCCTTGTCTCGCCCTTAGCAATGGGAAGTATGGCTGTGTTGGTTTGGAAGCAGGAAGCTATCAAACCAAATACAGCTTAATTCAGATAAGCACCTATCAATGCCCTAAAAGTAATTCTGGGTACATTAAACCTGGAAAGATGCCAAATGAAAGAAATGGTGCCTGAAAAGGCAGTCTCTTACAAAGTTAGGATAAAGGGAAACAAGTACGCTCTTGGGATGCCTGACTATTCAGTGTCTGGTATTCCAGACATTAAGAGGAAATCTATTTTAAGAGAAGTTTTTACTCAGACACTTTAGAAATATCCATTCCCCATAAATGTAAGATATATTTTATCAAAGTCCATGCCAATGTCCTTGGCAAGAATGCTGGTCATAACTTGTGCCAGATTACTGTATAAACTTAATAAAAATGTTTATAAAAACACTGTATGATACAGACTTTTCACTTTAGGTTACCCTTCCTAATGGGAAAGTTTTTCACTTATTTTAATGTTCATTTTTAGACCAGTCTTATCCCTGGATTTAACTTTTGTCATTTTGTCATTTGTATCTTTGTCGTTTAGAGGGCTCCTGCTCCACATTTTGTATAGAAAAGCTGTATTTCTGCCTTTTTTTTTTTAAATATCTGTAACAAATTTCTTCAGGAATATCTATGACCTCTGCAACTTGTGATATTTGCTGTCTTACTCTGCAAAGCAAACTATCTTATGAACAGTCAAGTTTGCCAGCATCCCTACCTTAAAGTGACAGGTCACTTGAGGTTTTCCCCATAACTAGTCTCTGTAATACATAGGGCCTTACAGGGAGTAAACCTATGAGGACCATAAAATTGCAATAACTAGAGACTAATGTCAGTCTTTATTAATTACAGGGACGTAAATTGTTGAAATCACTTAGAGCTGTCTTGAGACTAGAGTAATATAGCAAAGCCCAAATTAGTGTTCCAACAAAGAGATGCACACTACTATGGTTCCCAAAGACACAGATGTGCATGCATGCATTCATGTGGTTTCTCAAGACAGTTTCTCTGTAGCCCTGGCTGTCCTGGAACTCACTCTGTAGACCAGGCTGGCCTCAGAGTCACAGAGATCCACCTGCCTCTGCCTCCCAAGTGCTGGGATTAAAGGTGTGTGCCACCACCACCTGGCAAGACAGATTTCTGTCCTGAAGGGCAAAAGTCTAGATGATGCCACCTGACAGCCGTCCCAGCTTTTCAGGTTGGTGATCAGAAGACAAGTAATCGCACCACCACTGTGAACTGAGGAGCCATCTTGAGCAGTCTCGCTCCAAAGCTGTACAAAATGGACAATGTTAACGTCTTTTCCAATAATTGAACCAGGGCCTCAGGATTGCTCAGGCAGATCCTCTACCACTGAGCCATATCCAAGTCCAGTATCTGTTTTGCTCCAGTTCTCCATGAAATCCCATCTCTATCGGTTGATAAAAATGAGGACCCTGGTCCTGTTCCCTTAGGTCATGTTAGCTTCTTGATAGCTTCAATCCACTCTGCTCTCTCAGCCTTGCTGCTGGCCTGGATGTAATAGTGTGTGTCGTCCTTCGTGATCACTTTGAAGAGATTTCCTTGGACATTCCCTTTGACTCCTATACATGAGGGGGGAAAAAAGGATTGAATAACCATGACAACTTCCAGCTTGAAGCTACGCATCAACTAAGACAAAAAAAAAAAAAAAAACTGGAGTATTTCCACTTCCTACAGCCATAAAGCCTACCAGTGGTTATTCTGAGCATTTGCAGCTTCCTTGCTTGCCCACCCCATGCTAACCATAGACCTACAGTTTTATTCACATCAAAGAATCCCCTGTTTATGTTAAAAGAGGCACAGAATTTGATGTTTGCTTTGATATTGAACCTCAATTTCTACATCCACAAGATAGAAGTGATACTACCTTGTAAATTAGTAAAATTGTAAAATTAGTGTGAATAGAAAATGAAAGCATGCCATTAACATTAATACACTGTAGCCCTTAGCTGTAACTTAGGTGGAAGTTTACAGGCCATCAGCACAGAAACTAAGAATATAAATAAGGATTATTCAGTTGTATTCTTAAAACACAAGAATATTAGTTTTTAAAGTGAACTTCAAGAATCACATCACTGTCTCATTAAGGAAAGGCCCACTTGATTCTCAGAGCTCAGGCTCCCCCTACCCTACCCATCAAGGGACATGACATGCAGATGGAGGCCCCAGAGATCTTTTAAGCCAGAGCTGAAGTTGCATCTTACCAGTGGGAACACCATTATCCTCCAGAGCAGACACAAGGGACCCACGAAGAGAAAACCCACCTACCGGCCTGTTCTCTTCCTGTGGAGGAAGAGGCCAATTAGTAATTCCATGAACAAACCGAAAAAGAAGACACATCTCCCCTGTAACTGACCTGCCAAGCCACTTCAAATTCTCTAATAGATGTGGCTGAACCTGGGCATCATTTGCCCAAGCAACTTGTACCAATGAGGCAGTTACCAGGTCTGGCAGAGTTGAACAATGGTTTCGTTCCACATTCTACCAGAAGTATGCACCGGCTTCCTTAACCTTTGTCAACAATATATAGTTATGACGGGTATTCCTGCACATTGGACATTGTTGTGTAAGTCTCTAATGTGCTTGACATGAAACAAGACTGGTTTATGGTATCTGGATGGTTAAAGAGCAACTTTCTACACCAGGAGCACCGGCCCTTGGTCCCTTCTGTTAATAATCAATACTAAATGGGTGGCTCCCGCAAATAACACTAAAACAGTTAAGTAACAATGCAGAACTGTTGACAGATACCAGAGGAGGGAAACATCAAGAAGGGGCCCATCGCTGCAGCCATCTACAGCAGGCAGTCTCAGGGGACACCGAATTAGCCTTGAGAAGCAGGTCCTGGGTACTGGAATAGATATAGCCCAGCAACAGGAAGGGTAAACAGCAAATAGCAAAAGGCTCTGGACTCATCAGGGGCACAAAATAGTTGATGCTACATTAACAGTTAAATGTAACACATGCTTATACATTTGTTGATATTTTCCAAGTCTCAGAATTTGTGTGGCCGGTGAGAGTTTGAGGTTCAATCTGGGATGATAGCACATGCCTGTAATCCCAGCATTCAAGTTCATCCTTGGCGACATAGTGAGTTTAAAGACATGCTGTCTTTAAACAAAATTAAAAAGGATTTGAAACAGCCATGGTAGCAATACCACTAGAACCCAAAGAAAGGTCAATGGGTGCCTTCGGGGGGGGGGGGGGGCCCAAGGGTTTCATCCCTCAGTCAGTTTTCCTTCTAATCCTCTTCCTAGGCCTTAGCCTCCTCATTGTGCTTGGCAGGGAACAAGAGGGTTCCTCTATGAGGCTAAGGATTCCTGACTGAAATTCATATCAAAGGCAAGGCCGAACACCCTAACTAGAGAGCCATTTTCCTTTTGATGAGAATTAGATTAACTCTGAGTGAGGTGGTATTTATCAGAAATGAGGAGCAGCAATTCCTGACACAGGACAGCAATTCCTGTGTAAATTAAATACAACAAAAAGAAAATTTTCAAAGGTGGATGAAAGGGATGAAGAGCCTGGGAGCATCACTTAGGAGTCTTCCTCTCTCCCTTTGTCCACAAAGCAGGCTTTGGGGAAAGGAAAGGGTACTTCTCAAAATAATGAAGGTCCATTCATGAGATGTGGGCACAGAAGACCATGCACTGAGCAGACAGAGCAGTGTGGCCTGCAAGGAACCATGGTGTGATGTGGGAGAGGAGACACTGCAGCTGCCCACTCTGCTTGAGACTTTGGAAGCTGGACATGGGTCACTCACTTTGGAAGGGTCATAGTAATGCAGGAAAGCCGGGTCCTTCCTCAGAACGAATCGGCGCACCTTCCAGTTTTTCCTCTTGTGCCCCTGTAGGAAGGAAAGGGCTCAAGCTCTACATTCCCTTCTCGTTTCCATGCATCCATCAAACAAAACCGTAACAAGCCTGCCTGCTCCAATGAGACTACATTCTAAGGACAGTTTGAAAGAAACTCAAGGATTACAGTGACACGGTCCCTGCTTAGTGGCACCTCAGCAAAAATGCCACACTAGTTGACAGAGAGCTAAGAGTTAGCGCTGAAAGAAAAGAGGCACATTACCCCAATACTCAGGAATGAAAGGATAAGGGGCTGAGTCTGGAGCTCAGTAGTAGTGTTAGCCAAGTAAGCACAGGACCCTGAGTTCAATTCCCACCACTGAACAGCAACAAAAAGGCAAGGGGGCTGGAGATAAGGCCAATCAGTTAACAACATTTGCTGCTCTTGAAGAGTACTCGGGTTCAGTTCCCAGCACTCAAATGGTGGCTCACAACCATCTGTAACACCAGTTCCAGAAGATCCAATTCCCTCTTCTGGTCTCTGTAAGTACTGCACACACATACATGCAAACAAAACACCCATATACACACACACAAAAAAAAATCTTTTTTAATAATACTAAATATTTTTAAATAATTTTAAAGGAGGACAGAACAAACCTCAACTAGATCACCAGTTCACAAGCCACATTGCACACAAGGTCACCAACATTTTAAGGGTCAACTTGGTCCAAATCAACCCTATAGCTACATGTATATTTGTGCATTTTATTGTGTGGAAATCAATGTAACATTCTATATCAGAAAAAAAAGATCAATTGCCAGGGCGGTAGTGGCACACACCTTTAATCCCAGCACTCAGAGGCAGGTGGATCTCTGTGAGTTCCAGACCAGCCTGATCTATAAAGCAAGTTCCAGGACAGGCTCTAGAGCTACACAGAGAAACCCTGTTTCAAAAAACCAAAACCAGAAAGAAAAAGAAAAAAGGAAAAAAAAAATCAATTACAGTCTACGATACAGTGTATGGTAAAGCCTAAATAGTCAGATATTAACCTCTGTGTGTGACTGAGTGTGAAAGAAACTTTCTCTGAACTCACACCCCAGGTCACAAACCTCCCTTAGCACCTAGAGTCTCTCTCATCCCTTCTTCCACTCCCGTGGGGACCTCAGTTCTTCCCTCGGTCAGGGCCACTGTCAGGCCCAGCAGCAGCAGGACCCTTGAGATAGACCATTTCGTCTATGGTAAAAACAGCAGATGGTTCCTAATGTTCGACAGGCTGGTGACACATGTGACATGGAGCAACAATACACAAGTTGCTATTTGATGTGACAGTTACTTGTGTTATATTTTTTCATGTGACAATTCTTGGGTCTGGTACACATATGTGAGAATAAGCATGCGCCGGTCTTGGATTTGCCTCTTGTGGCTGGGGAGGGGAGTTCTGTGGATTTTACTAATAAAGAATGTACTCCAGCATCCTCAGCTCCTGCCTCCCTCTGGGCTCATCCCATGTCCTCCTGCTCAAAGACAGCCATACCTGCTTGGATAGGTAGCCTTGTTTGACCACTAAGCCACTTAACTCCATGGTGCTGAGACTGATCTCTTCCTTGGAGCTTACCTTCTTCTTGTAGCTTTCAGCCTAGTGGGAAGGGGAAGGCGAGGACTTGTTACAAAGGAACCCAGTCCCAGGCCAAGGGGGCCACAAAGACAAAGAGAATTCCTCATCACAGAAGCCCCTTGAACTCCTCAGGATAGAACTGTTCCCCAACCCTGGGTCTTCCCTATGGCTCCAGACCCCCAACTCCTACCCTTGCCATTTCCTCCCCTCCCTAGAAGAACCCAACCTCTAACTCACAAAAGTGTACAGGGCTGTAGAATCATCCAGAAACTGCTCGGCCAGATCCCCTGAGCGAATAGCTCCCATGCTCCGGACCCCAACTGGCCTGAGGAAGTTCTCTTCCATAAGCATGGAGGCCAGGGTCACTCCCTCCAGACGGCTGGCTGCAAAGCTGCTGGAGATGAGCCAGTCCACCAAGGAGGAGCCTGTGTCAGTACAAGGACAGGCACCTGTCAAACCATGTGTTAGCTATACCCTAGCCTACTCATGGGACTTGGTCAATTACCCCATTGACCTTGACCTCCTGAGGAGTCTCAGGTTCTACCTAAGAGCAGCCTGACAGTCATACCCAATGCTCAGAGCTGTAGCCACTCCCTCACAGACTATCCCATTTCTTAGCAGACAGCTCTGTCCCCATTATAATTGGTTAAGCAGTTAGATGGGCTCTAGTCACTATGTCCCAGGTCTCCAATCTGGCCATGGGATGGATAGGCTCACCCAGGAAGGTCTTTTTGTAGGTGCTTCCCTGCTCCATGTTAGGACACGGCCGGATTCCACTGCTGCTGTCATGCATCTTGTCCACAATTCGACTACATAGGAAGAAGGCAAAGAAAGGACCCTGGTCATAGTGTCCACTACAGGGAGGCTCCAAGAATCATGGTATCAGTTCATGATACAAAGCAAAGGACAGATGATATGACATACACTACAGTGATGGGAGATGTCATTCTGTAAATGTTTCTCATACTGGTTAATGAATAAAGCACTGTTGGCCAATAGGAAAGGAAGATAGGAGGGACTAGGAGACAAGGAGGAAATAGGAAGTAGTAAGGAGGAGCCAAGATGGGGAGGCTGGAGAGAGCAGTACGCGGCAGCTGGCTCCGGGTAAGAAGACCACGTGGAAATACATAGATTAACACAAATGGGTTAATACTTAAGACAGAGCTAGCTGATAAGAAAGTAGTAACTGGCCAACAGTATAATATCAAATACAGAGTCTCTGTGTGTTATTTGGGGCTGGCACGGCGGCGGGACAAGACCAGGCGGCGGGAGGAAAAACCGTACTTCTTACACTACAGAGACAGGCTTTGGTTATAAATCAAAATCCAAAAGACATGGTTTTCAGATGCTCTTCTTCTTGATTGTGTAAATGTTCCAATATTTCCACACTGGGCAACTATTACTGGTCATATAAGCTAAACAATTGTGACTGCTTAAAACCTCATGGCTCCATGTGATCTGTTACATGTTTTCTGAACTCCTCCAGCTCCGCCTCTGTAGGTTTCCTTTCAGGACCCACCTCAGGCTGTTCCTGCCTGCACTCACCCTGGCTTAGCAGCTGTGTGGACCCACAGATGGTGTGCACACTAGACTTCAGAGGCTGGTGTAGAGTTCTTTGAGTTCAGGGATGGACTTGCATCCCATCTAGGATGGTCATAATAGTGCAGCTGCCTGGGAGGCTATGGGGCATGTCTGATGGAAACACCTGTCATACATCTCTATGGCATGGTAGATATCACCATCACCATTAGTTGCCTGCTGTGACAACTGCTACCACCAATGAAAGACCTTCTGTATGCATGTCCCTGGGGTGAAAGGCCCCTGAGGATGCATCTATTAGTGCTTACCTCTCTGAACACCTGGCACAATGCATGACATTCAATAAGCACTCAATAACTATCTCTTTTTTCTTTTTAAAATTGACACATAATAGTTGTACATATTTGTTATGTACTCAGTGATTTCGTAGATGGCTGAATGAGGAATCCCTCCAAATAATAAGGCAGCCATTACTGACCACCAAACTGCCGATGAGAACTATCTAAGTACTCTGCCTAAAACAGAATGGTGGTCTCTGCTTCATTCACTGAGGTATTATGACTTGGTGAGGCCCTGAAAGGTTACACAGGAGAGAGGAGCTAAATAAGGCAAGCTCCAGGAGTCAACCCAGCATGACCGGGACAGAGAAGACCGCTGGCCCTGAAGCACAATGGTGGAATAGCCAAGCCTGTGTTGTACCATAGGGTCCCTCTCCCAACTAAACAGACAGGAGAGGCTTCAGGGAGGCCGGACAGAGTCAGGGACAGGCAGGTGGACACTCACTGCAGGCTGATGTGTGGGGGCAACTTGAAGGAGTTTTTCTGTATATGGAGTTGCTGGACCTTCCCCGGCTGCCCCGCGTGGATAGCCCCTGTTATCTCAAAGGCCCAGGAGTCCCTCTCCTCTCGAGAACAAGCCTCCAGGAAGTACTCAGTGGAAGTTCGGGTCTTCAGCTTAATGAGGAGCTGTGAGAAGAGACAACCAGACACTAATACTCAGAGGAGAACTGGGTAAGGAAATGTTGGTAGCAGGAATGACAGGATCAGAGAGGCTCCTGGAGGTCATGTATCCAGGGATGCCTAGGACCCAACCCTGCCCACACTCAGCAGGGGAGGCTGTACGGATTGATTTGGATATATCCAAGCAAGGAGTGCATGGCCTCCTAAAGCAACCTTTCCCTTCCGCACAGGTTAACGCAGTGCTTCCCAACACGGTGGCTCTGACTCACCCTTCCAGAGCCACAGCCTTACTCCTTATCACAGCCCTTCTCTGAAGAGGGAACCTCCCAGGCTCACTCAGATGGACCTGAACACAAACCTCAGCCCTGCAACTTGGCTAGGAAGGCTTGATCACCCCAGGAGCCTCGCTGAGCTGAGTCTCCCCTTGTAATAACACACTACCATTTACCCCTACAAGAGTGCCAGTAAGAACCCTTCCATCCCTGTCTCTAGTTCAAACATTACCAACTCATCCACTCATCCTTCATGTGACACGGTTTCAACTCCTTCCCAAAAGGTTTGCCCTCTGCTACATGCTCAGCCCTTGGTCAGCATTCTCAGAGAACCCACCCAGGATGGAACAGCCTGCTCCAGGACTAGGTGGAGAGAGGACTGCACTGCTAACAACCCATGAGCACAAGGACTGTGAGCAGATACTGACACAGCGGACTCACGCTTGGTGGACTTGGGGGCCACTTCTCTACCCTCTAACTGGAGGCTTTCTTAAACCTGCTGCGGAATGTCACACGTTGGCACTCTTAAATGCTACGTGTAAATTAGGGCGTCCATCCCCAGTGATGGGGATCAAACCCAGGAGCCTCTCTAAGACATCTTCCTTCTGGTTATGGCCACCAGCATATTCACAAACAGCCTGTTTTGCTTTTGAACTTACAAATATCCTTCATTTAAATCAATAGGAAACATGGGATTAAGTCATGGCTGGCTTGCTGTCCCAAGGAATATTATGCAGATGTTTTACCAAGTTAGCATCCACTGGCCAGCAGTATGGAAGATTGAATTGAACTTGTTATTATCCAGCTGCAGTTCACCATTTTACTGAAAAAATGTTTCAAGAGGGCCTAAAAATGACAAATGAAACCCAAACACACTCAATAGCATGCAAACACGCATGTATGCATGCACGCACATGCACACACACACACACTTTATGACTTGTTTCTAGAAAACCTATTGATTGTTCTCAATCTTTTTCAACCCAAAATACCCAAGCAAATACTACAAAATATTCATATAAGTAACACCATTCCTCATTCTTCCTAATGGTTCTTAAGGGGCAGCAGGTTGAGAATGTAACCTATGAGTTCAAGGCTTCATTCACTGATACCCATGGATTTCCTCTTTAGAACCATCTGACATATCTGCCAATCTTTCTTCTTTGTTCAAGATTATTAACTCAACAAACATAAGCTATCTGCATGTACCTAGATGCTGTATCAGTCTTCTGGAGGGTGACATTGTTTGCATATAACAGTATTATAAGTCTACAAAATAAAATCAACTTTATCTACCCCATATCCAAACCTTTTCTTTATTTACTTTTGGTTTTTCAGGACAGGGCTTCTCTTTGTGTAACCCTGGCTGTCCTGGAACTCCCTCTGTAGACCAGACTGGCCTCGACCTGCCTCTGCCTCCCCAGTGCTCGGATTAAAAACATGCACCACCACCATCCAACTCCATCCCCAGTTTTGATCAAATTATTTCCCTTATTGTCTGTGTGTTTTTTGAGATAGCATCTCACCATGTTGTCTAGGCTGCCCTGAAATTCTGAGTTCTGACACTCCTCCAGCCTCAGCCTCCTGAGTGATGGGGATTGCAGGTGTGAGCCCCTATGCCCAGCATCTAAAAAGACTTTTCAATAGTTCATTCTCTAACTCAAAACCTCCAGTAGCTCCGCATTGCCTCCATCTGGTCCCAGACAATCTCCCATCACCCCTTCAGTGAGCTTTCCCTTCTAGCCCCATCAGCAGGCCTTCACCCCCAGGGTCCCTACTTCTGAGGCTGTACTTGCCCTAGACAACCCATAGTGGTGCCCTCCTCTGCAGCTCATATTTACACCATCGTCTGGGACTCTAAATGTTTTCAATGACGATGTGTTGCTGATGAATAGAAGCCACTGGACAAGTGCTCTACCACTGAGCTACACTACATTCTCAGCCCCTGACTTGCTTAAAAAGAAGATTTATTCCCCGTGTGTGTGTGTGTGTGTGTGTGTGTGTGTGTGTGTGTGTGTGTTTGTGCACCTCATGCCTATAGGTACCTTTAGAGGCCAGAGGGCCAGATCCCCTGGGACTGTAGTTATAGTTATAGGTACTGGAGTTACAGCAGTTGTGAGCTGTCTGATATGAAGGCTAGGAACCAAATTAAATGCTTTTAACAGCTAAGCCACCTCTTAGCCCCATTAAATTATAGAAAGGGTACATTAGCAGCCCTGGCTAGCCTGGAACTCCTTATATAGACAAGGCTGGTCTTGAACTCACAAGGGCTTGCTCTGTCTCCTAAGTGCTGGGATTAGCCACCACACCTGGACAATTTTTTGATGTAGGGTCAAAGCTGCCCCTCACTTCTGAAACAATCCCAAGACAGCAAATTTTCTTGCATTTTATGCCCCCAAAATTTGTGGTCATAAACCTTGAAGGAAACTGCAAAACAAAAAAACAAACAAACAAAACAAAACAAAAACCCCTCACCCATGCTTCTGTCTAAGAGACCATTGTTGCTGACATCTGGTGTCTTCCTCTGGCCTCTTCTGGCTAGTTTTTAGTTTCTGGTTTTGTTGTGAATTAGTGCCTGCCTCCTAGAACACTAGCTGTTTTTTTTTTTTTTTTTAACAGATCATCACTTTCTCAAACAGCCTTACCACATGTGTGTAATGCTGTCACATAATCGTTTTATCCCAATTTTTATAAATGACAAGTGAGAGCTGGGAGAGGTTTAACTATTCGCCCGAGTTCATGAGACAGTCAGAATCTGAACCCCAATCAAACAATGATAACAAAGGGGCAAGGTGTCTAGAACAAGGGACCAGGCATCAGGATGCTCACATACCGGCCGGTTTTCATACTCCAGGCAGGGGCAGGTGATGGTGCAGCCATCCAGGAGTATCCTTCCCTTGGGTGGGGTCACTCGCCGGCCACCCTCTAGCTTGTAATACAGGAGCGTGTTCTGCCGAAGGATAAACCATCGTGCCTTCCAGTTATGGACAATGTGGCCCTATGGACAGACAGACAGACAGGAAAGGCTGGTGGTGAGGTGATGCAGGGGGAGGATACTGCACTAGAGAGAGGAAGCCCATGCTTAGGCAAGCAGTGTGGGCTGAGAGTCAATGTACAGTGAAGGAGGGAGCAGGCATTTTGTCTGGCTCTCCTTCGCTCCTCTCTCCTGAGTTGAAGCAAAAGCTTTTGACCTTGACATTTTATTTCCTATTGGCCTTTGCCAGTGGTAGGGCTCCAACTCAGGCCCTCTGGCATGTGAGATGTTTTACCTGAGTTATACCCGAGTTATACATCCCAGAACCGGTTCATAAAGCTTGAGAGAAACTGCAAGATATAAGGAAAAATCACTCACCTGTAAACTCTTTTAGCACAAGGCAGCCATTGCTAACATCTGGTGTTTCCTTCCAGTTTTCCCCCTTTACTGTGTCTGTCTGTATACAAGTATTCACAAATGCATGTATGCATTTAGACAGGATGTGTGTGTGTGTGTATTGGTTTAGACAGGGTATGCATGCATGTATGTACATATTTAGACAAGCTCTACGTAATCCAGCCTGGCCTGGAACTCATGTTTCTCCTGCCACAGGTAAGGTAGTGCACAGCTTTAATCCTAGCACTCCTGAAGTAGACAGGCAGATCTCTGTGAGCTCAAAACCAGCCTGTTCTACATAGAGAGTCCCAGGCCAGCCAGGTCAGTGTCTCCAAAAATAAATAAAAGCTTAGAAAGAAAATTCAGTGTGTGTGTATACGTATGTAGCTAGGGACTGAATCCAGGGCATCATGTGTGTGAGGTAAGTACTCTATGACCTTATTATATCCCTAGCCCCTAATAATAAAATTCTAAAAATTAGTATCAATGATTTTTTTTGTGGGTGTGTGGTGGCAGAAATCAAACCAGAGCCCCTGAAACACTAGGCAAGCACTCCACTATTGAATTGCAGTCCCCAAAATGTTTTATTTTTGTTTCTTAAGGACATCAGCGTCTTGCCCAGGCTGGGATTACAGATGTATATTATAATACCCAGAAATTGGTGTATTATTTTTATAATTGTAAAATAAATTTAAATTCAAATAAGCAAGCAATCTCGATGAGCAATTTAGGTTTGTCTGATGAAGAAGGCAGGCAAGAGAGCACACAAGAGCACTACGGGGCATGTAGCCCGGTGGTGGAGCCCTTGCCTAGTCCTGGCAAGGTCTGAGGTTTGAGTGTCAGCACCAAAACCATTGTAGCATTTCCTCTTCAGGAGCATCGCATGCTTCTACGTGACTCTGGCACTGAGTCCTGTGGGGCGGGGATGGGGAAGTGATGGGTTCCTGCTAGGCACAGTTTGATATTCAGACCATGAGGAATTTATAGCAGAAGCATAACAAGCTCGGAGTCTTAGGTTTATAAGATCCCTCTGGAGCTAGGGATGAAACCCAGCAGCCACACTAGTTAGCCATAGAGGCTGGGCAGTGGCGGTGCATGCCTTTAATCCCAGCACTAGAGAAGAATAGAAGAAGGGAGGAGACAGGAGCTCAGGCAGCCTGCAATCATGCTAAGGACAGGATCTCCTCTTTTGGTCTGAGCCTTGGAAGAGGCAAGAACTCTCTAGTGGTTGGCTGCTTTGCTTTTCTGACCTTCAGCATGAACTCCAATATCTGTCTCTTGGTTTTAATTATTCGTGCTACAGTTCAGTCACCAGTACCACGCAAGCTGGTGATACAAGCCTGTATTTAAGGGGTAGAGGTAGGAGGATCAGAAGTTCAAAGTCATCCTCATCTACATAGTGAGTTCAAAGCCAGCCTGGATTAGAGACTGTCTCAAAACACAATTGGTAAATCAGTCATCAGTCTGGTCAGGATTATCGACACACGGATCTGTAATCACACCTGAGACAATCATTCTGACCATAGTGTGTTGGGACAAGTGAATGAAACAATGAGACTGCTGTGGGGGCTTCAGCAGAAGGCTCTGAAATAACCTCACACCTTGTAGGAAACCACTGCTCTATGGACAAGCCTCGGTGCACACAGGCAAGGTGAGACTAGATTCAAATAAACCCAGCCTACAGCCCTCTACCTAGGCACTGGTTCCCATGCATGGAGAAGCCTCTCTCTTCAGGCCTCTTGTCTGTAAGCCACTGACTGGGGCAGAGGCCAGCTCCTTTAGGGGAAAGGAGGGGCCCCATGAGATGGGCCGGCACCTCAGGGCTGTGCCCTTTAAGGAGGATACTATACTCCCTAACTCTCATGATAAGAAAACAGCCAGGCAGGGTAGCTGTGAATCCCAGCACTTCAAAGACAGAGGAAGGCGGACCTCTGTGGGTTCCAGGTCAGCCTGGTCTACAGAGCAAATTTCGGGACAGCCAGGGCTGCACAGATAAACCCAGTCAAAGAAGAAAGAAAGAAAGGAAGAAGGGAGGGAGGGAGGGAAGGACAGAAGGAAGGAAGGAAAGAAGTGGAAAAGGAGAAGATTTAATAACAGGCTTTTTTTTTTTTCTGTATTACAATCATTTATCTCAGGAGTTAGATAGGTGGCAGCGGTGTCTGGTTTATTATTGGTTGTCTTATTTGTTGATTTGAGACAGAGTAACTCTATATAGCCTAGGCTAGTCTCCAACTAAGGATCCTCCTCCCTCATTCTCCCAAGTGCTGAAATACAGGTGTGAGAGCATCTACACCAGGCTTCTGGAATATTTCATGCATAAAAAAATATCTTCTTGGGCTGGGATGTAGATCAATTTGGTAGAGGGCTTTCCGAGCTGGATTGAATCCTCAGCACTGAATAAACTAGGCATGATGGTGCATGCCTGTAACCCAGGACATGCGAGGTGGAGGCTGACAGATCAAAGAGTTCAAGGCCGTCCTTAAATACACAGAGTGTTTGAGGCTACAGTGGACGGACTACATAAGATCCAGTCTTGAAGAAAATGATAAAGCTTTTACTGTATGTCCTCGAGATGAAGTCCCAGAGTCCTACAAGTGATGCCTCCAGGCCTCCAAGCCTGGCTGCAGCACCTGCTTCAGCTCTCCTCACCACAGAGCTATACATACTCCTCCACCCCCACCCCTATGCCCCACCCACACCCACAAACAGACTCAGCTGCTCCTCTCCTCTGAGAGCCAGGCCTGGCAAGTGCCCTGTGTTCTGCCTAGAGTCTGGTTCTTTCTTGTCTGGGCAGGGTTAGGAGCCAAACCCATCATGCCGCTGCTTGCCTCCAGCCAAGCCTACCAGGAGTTGGCTGTTCTGTTCTTTTGCTTCCAGCTCAGACTTTCTACATCCCAGAGCTGGGAACCCTCCTAAACCACCCAGGGCCACCGTGACCTGTGAGCACGTGGGTTACTACTGCCACTTGAGAGGAAAGTGGATTTGCGTGGCAGTGGGAACAGGCGGTGATCATAGCAGGGGTCTTCGGCCGACTTCCTCACTGTGCCGGCAGGAACAAGCGCAACTTCCACTTGCCTCAGGATGGGGCTGGAAAGAGGCATTGGCGCCTCAGCCACCCTGTGCTGACTCTCTGGATTCTAAGCCAGGCCCCCAGAAGACAAGGGCAATCCTCTTCCATGTCCTGGTGAGCCTAGATCTCCTGTCTCTACGCAGTAGTGGGAGTGGGAGTCATGTCGGTAACTCCAGAAACAGGCAGAGGCCCACAGACCCTGTCTGAAGGATTTGACCAGAAGGTGATCCCTCTCCTTCACAGGCCCTTACCACAGCCTTGCAATCACCAGCAAACCACACATCACACCAGCTCAGCCACCTCACAGGCCGCAGTAGAGTGGACACAGACGTGACCTGGGTGAACCATCTCATCATCTAAATGACGAACACACAAAGTGAACATGGAATTCTGGACAGCTGGACACCAGCCTGACCCCCTGACCTGGCATCAGCTTCCTATCCTCCTTGCTTGTAACTTTGAACAAAGCACACCTGGTCTCCCTGTATCACGCACTGTGCAAAACAAGGCAGACATATGTAAACAGAACATGAAAGGGACTTGAGCCTTCAGCGCTATCAGGCTGTGTGGCCAGGTAAGCCAATGAGGACAGTCTCTTTAGCCTCCATCATCCCCACTTCGTAAGGCTGTAAGCCCAGAACAGCCAAAGGGCTCAGCTTTAGATGTATATCTGTATGCTTTGCTAGTATACTAATATAAATGTTAGTGTTGACATCAATGTTAAATTTGTTTTCAGATGTTAGGGATCAAACCCAAGGTTTCCTGTATGCTAGGAAGTGTCATACCACTGAACCCTAAAATTTTCTCTTCCAGGTCCTTTCATTCATTTTCCCTGCCCTTGATCCTAGGTATCCTGGAGTCCCAGAGTCCCTTAGCTTCTTCACTGTGGGGTGATGGGCAACGGACTGGGCAACGGACTAATGATGGAACTCATGTTCCATCTAATACTCACTCTAGGCAAGCTATTCTATCTGATACTCAATCTCCTCATCTATAAGTGATAGCAACAACCATTCTGGTGCCAATCACTAATCTTGCAGGACTTATGAAGGATGAAACAATACAGACAGCTAAGTGGTAACACACACACACACACACACACACACACGAGAGGGGGTACCACCCTCCCAGTTGTAAAGTACACAGCAAATCCATGGTGCTTTATATTTCAATACCATACTGTCATGTTTTAATTGACACATGACTGTGCATATTCATAGGTACATACATTGTGATGTCAGTCATAGGCATGGTGTGCAACGATCGCTTCAGGGTAACCAGCCTATGCATCACCTCAAACATTTATTATTGTTTCACGGTGTTGGAAGCATTCAAAATCCTCTTAGCGATTTCAGAATACACTCTTAAGAGCAGTCCACCACAGTTAAACTTCTGCCACAGGATGTTAGAGTCATTCCTTCTTTCCAGCTGTCCACCCTGCACCCCACACCCTTAGGATATTTTAAGGCATGTGGGGTGTGTGTGTTCCTGGGACTGAACCTAGGGCCTCTGGGCTCAGGCTCACCCCCACCCCCACCCCCCAGTAAGTTGTTTTAAGAGATTCATTCTAGAGCCAACCCAGAACCACACTAACCAAGCCGGATCCGCCAGCGGGAGCCTACCTCGTCGGCGCGTCCAACCACCACCTGCTCCGCTGTCCCCATGGCCACGCGGGCGCAAGGCCGGAGCACACTCACCCTCTTCACGAGGAATCCCTCCTTGAGCACGCCGTCCTCCATGTCGCCAGTGCAGGTGAGCTGTCCCCCGCGATCCCGCGATCCGCCGCCTGTGCCGCCCGCGCCCAGGAAGCCGCTCCCGCCCAGCGACGCCCCCTGGCGCGTATCCAGTGCCAGAGCCTCCGGCCCGCGGGCAGGAAGTCTGGCCGGGTCCGGACTTCTACACAGACCTTCCCACGCGAGGTGCCCAGCCTGCCAGCCCCACCCCGCGCGACCCGCGGTGATGGCCCAAGTAAATGGCCCTGGACGGGTGTCTAGACTTGTGAGCCATCCATGAGTGCGGAGGAAACAGAGGCAGGAGAGTGTGTACATAGGATGGAACTGAGCCAGGAGGGCAAGACAATCACAAGTTTAAGGCGGCTGGTGCAATCTACAGGATGATGATGATGAACAGAATATCCTGAGAGAATCAACGCACTGTCCTACTATGCCATGCTGGCACCTGAAACAGAAGGGAACTATGGGTAGTGCTGATTGGCTTGGAATTCCTGATATTTCTTCTTTACTCTGCAGAGGGAAGAGCGCAGTAGGCAGAAGAAAGGTCCTGGGGTGCCTAGAAGGAAGGAATGAGACCTCCTAGACTAGAAGAAAAGTGGACTGCTGGCAATAGAAAGACGACAGCTCCCAACCCACCCTAGGGTTCTATGCTGGGCTGTGCCCACTGGTATCTCTGTAGGTCTGTAACAGACCTACACCTTCACCTCACATCAAAGCCAGGAGACCTGACAGGGCTCACGGTACTGTGTTACCAGGCAAAAGCTTCCTAGGTTTTGAATCCAAAACAGGGTTTGCATTCCCTTTTCAATAGTAGTGCTAGGTTGCACTTTTACTATCCCAACTCCAGGAGGCAAATCCTATATTTTCCAGGAAACTGAACTGTCAAGCCATTAACACTTGCTGAAGGCCTCACAGCCCCAGGGCATTTTTAGCAGGACTCAGACCCAGGGTAGGAAAGGCTTGGAAAGTTTGATCCTCAGACTGCCAGCCTCTGCTTCTCGGAGGCTCAGACACACTTTTTCTTTGTGTACATACTCCCCTGTTTCCTCCCAGCTCAGGGATGGATGGCTCACAAGTCTAGACACCCATGAGTACTCTGAAAGGGTCAAGTTGGTCTTTTCTCCCCCAGTACATCTCAGGAAGGCCTCTGCACTTCGGTGGAGGGAAGCCCCTGTGGTGGGCCATCCTGTCTGACTCACCGGACCTTCAGCATGAGTCACCTCCCCTGTCTTCCCCAATCTGTGCTGACTATACCACCAACTCACCAGGGAACCATGATGACATAAGCCCAGCTGAACCACAGGGAGGAGACTGGAGGGGGACAGAAGTAAGCAGAGATGCAGATAGCTTGGATTTGGGGAGGAAGCAGGGCGAACCTCCAGGCTTGGAAAGGAAGGTAATGCCTTTCATGTGTTAGTGTGTAGAGAGAGCTGTTAGGTCGGTGTTTGTGTGATGACTCTGCCTGATATGAATTCTACAACTAGAGTCATTCCTCTGGCTTTGGATAAGAATCTTCTGTTTACACACAGTACAGCCTTATTCACAATTAACACACATTGGTTTAATGAGTTGTCAGAATGGCCACCTACCCCTAGAAATCATCTAATCAAACACACACACACACACACACACACACACACACACTGAGGAAAAATAATTTGCTTAGGGTCTTCATCCATGTTGTGTCAAAGCAGGGCTAGAATGCCAGAATCCAAACTAACAGAGCAGTATGTTGCAAGGCTAGCTCTTAGCAAACACTGGGCCATCTCCCTCAGGAATGGTCAGCTTCAGAGACAATGGCTAGAGAACCAGAAAGCACTTCAAACTACTGTTCCCAGGAACTGAGGAGATTGACAGCTCGGCTGTTAAGGGCACTTGTTGCTGTTGTAGATGACCCGAGTTCAATTCCCAGAATCTACACGGTTAGCTCATAGCTACCTATAACTGCAGTTCTAGAGGATTCAATGCCCTCTTCTGATTTCCATGGCAACTAGGCATGCACAAGATACACATATATGCATGCAGGCAAAACACTGATATATATATATAAAACAAATAAATAAATCTAAAAAAAAATCTGCTCCTATAGGGCAGTGTGGTGAGGGATACCTGTAATTCTAGTACTCCAAAGGCAGAAGCAGGAATTTGGTGAGTTGGAGGCTGGCCTGGTCTACATAGTGAGCTATAGGCCACCCTGGGCTAAACAACGAAGCCCTCTGTGTTAATTACTTTTCTATTGCTGTGATAAAATTCTAAGACCAAGGTGACTTAGAGAAGAAAGTTTATTTATGTTTCAAAGGAATAAGAACTTATTTATATTCCAAAGGAATGAGCTTGTGTTGCAAAGGGGTAAGGAAGCGGAAAGATCTGGTCCTGAACTGCAAGCACAGAGCAGGAAGACAGAGCTGTGAGTGAGCTGAAGCTATCTGACTCTCCAAGCCAGAGACTCTTCCTCCAGCAAGGCTGCACCATTTGAAACTTTCAACCGTGACCTTCTTTTACTTCCAATAGTCAGCATGCATACCAACAAATCACTAAAATGATTCAAAAGGATGGTTTCCATAGTTGCATAAAATTTCATTACGCTGGCATCATAACATTTAATCATTTCTATATTGGTTGGTTTAGGGTCTCTTTATCTAACCCAGGCTGGTCTTGCACATAAGAGTCTTCTGCTTCAGCCTCCTGGGTGCTGGGATTATAGACATGTACTAAATCCTCCATACTCATACCAAGCTGCTTTTCCAGACATGTGATCTCCCCACCAGCAGCCCTGTGTCCACGCCAGCATCATGGTGTCCACACCAAACATCGTATATGGTATTTTGGGAAACTGCTGGTTTCCTTATGAACCATAGGCTGTACCATCTGTCAGAATGAACCCCAGCTTCCTTGAGCAACTCCCCCTGGAAGTGACTGAGCATTGGAAGAAGACTGGGTCAGGGAGGTTCCAGGCAGATGTACCTAGCACAGCAAAAGGGGGCATATAGCATCCTAGAGCCTATGTGTGTCCAAAAGTACTCCTAAGCTTGAGCAGGGTGTGTAGCGCAGGTCCTGGGTTTGGTCTCCAGCACTAGGATAATAAGAACAACAATAATAGCAGCCATTGTAAATCAGGGAGTATTCCTATTCTCTCTCCCAGCATTTCCTTCATTCATTGACAGCAGATGTGTAGTGAGTATGTCAGGTATGTCAGAAGTACAAAGCAACAAGACCAGTTCACAGGGCTCACCCTTGTCAATCAGCAGCATAACACGATAGATGCCACTCAGTGACATAGTGAGAAAGGGAAGACGATCTAGGCAGTGGTGGCAAGTGCTTTAGTCCCAGCACTCAGAAGACAAGCAGGCAGATCTGAGTTCAAGACCAGCCTAACCTGGTCTACAGAGTGAGTGCTACACAGAGAAACCCTGTCTTGGGGAGGGGGAGGAAAAATAAATAAACAGATAAACAGGCAGGCAAAGACAAAAGAAATTTTGCCTAATTCATGACTCTGCTCAAGTTCATCCATTAAGTTGCCTTGCTAGAGAAGGAATACTTACCAGCCCACAACTTACCCTGATTCTCCTTTTCAAATCTATCAACGGTTCAAAAGCAGTTCAATATAGAAATTTATTTTAGATTTTTTTCATTTAAATTTTAGTCTTTTCCCAGATGAATGATGTAATCCTCTTTTCTTTCTTTTTTCTTTTTTTTTTTTTCTTTTTTCTTTCTTTTTTTTTTGAGTCAAGATCTCACTATGTAGTTCAAACTGATCTCAGACATGCTATGTAGCCCAGGTTGGCTCAAACACAAGATACTCCTGCCTCAGTCTCTCAAGTGCTACAGGTTGAGGGAACATCGCCTTTCTGACACACTTTCTGTGGGGACAGTGCAGTGAGCCACAGCTGAGCTGTGACATCCCACAGTGTTAAACACATTTCAGTTTGAAATGGGTTTATGGAGACAGACCCTCACTGTGAGTCAGCCAGTGTCCATGTTCTTTCATTCACTGTTTTGTTCTTTCATTAACAGACTGACACTATCAGAAGCGCCAAGCATGAAGTGCTATGAGCAGTTCGCAGACTTTGCCCTTGCCTCAGTGCGGACACTACGGATGTCACTCACCACGGTCCTCTCTCCATCCCAGGTGACCCCCTTCTACCCTGGTGCTTCAGGAAACAGCATCTCTCTAGAATCTAGATGCTGAGCAAGTCGTCTGCAAGGGCCAGAGCCCAGCTTCCCTGCTTCCTGCCTGTGGGATCAACCCTGCCTACCCCTTAGAGAGCCAGGCTTCAGAGAGCCACTCCCGTGTGGACTTTAGTAAGGTTCTGGGTGGAGCAGGATGATGACTCAGCCCTGTAAGCAGGCAGGACCCGACCTGTTGGAGAGAGATAAGGGCCCCTCCTTGCCTGTCTTGCCCATTTCCCTCCCTTTTCTCCCTTCCCTAATTGTTATTCTTGGAAATTAGGTTTTCCTTTTGTTTGTGTGTGTGTTGGGGGGGGGGGGGACTAGGGGAGGCATAACCTTGGTCTGGGGATGTCTGGGTGCAGGGCAGGAAAGACTGCTGAGGTGCCCGGTGTGACTCTGGTCACCTCCTCTCTGCAGGCCTCAGGAACTCCAGGGCTCTTAGCAGGACCACCTGCTCCCGTCGCTTAGAACAAGGAGATTGTGCAGCACCTGGCTGGGCCAAGGGTTCAGCTTCACACAGGGCTGCCTCCTCCCAAGGCACTGCCCATTCACCAAGCCACAACCTTGCAGGACTGCAGCCCACAGGTTCCGGCTTTTTTTTTTTTTTTTTTTTTTTTTTTTAAACTTTGTGGAAAGTAGCAGCAGGGAGATGTGAGTCCTAGATTAGGTAAGCCTCATTCTAAGAAATCTCTCTCACAACCTAGATGGAAACTATTCAGGAAGAGAAGAAGTAAAATCCAGGCGACCCTGAAGGTGTGCTGACACCGGAGGAACCTGGAAATTCCCTAACACGACCAGCCCTCCCCAGGCAGAGGCTTTTAATTCCAGCTGAAGATCAGTCCCCTGGGGAGGGTGGAGAAGCTA